CGGGAGGTGAGTGGGGGAAGGTGTGGTGGCGCACACCATGGAATTCTACCCGGCCGTGAAAAGAATAAAACCCTGCCCTGTGCGAAGGCACGCAGGCGCCGAGAGGGCGTTATGCTCAGTGAGGTTAAGTCAGGCAGCGAAAGACAAATACCCTGTGTGCAATCTAATAAAAATCCACACCCACCAACGAACAAACCAAACCAAACTAGTAAACCAAACCAAACCAGACCAGACCAGACCAGACCAGACCATCGCTGGAGAGGACAGTGGGTGGTGGCCATGGGGACATGGGTGCGAGGTGGGGTATAAGAGCTCTCTTTGGCTCAGGGGCCGATGGGGATAAAGGGAAGTGCCTCGGGCTTACCCGTAAAAAACCCAAGTATGTTTCTCTCTCTCCCATTGGTCCCCATGGAGGTCAGATCTATTTCCGGAGCCACATTGGGGCCAAGGCCTCCGGGAGGTCAAGACCCACCCGCCGCAGGCCGTTGGTGCTGACACGTGAGTGTCAGTGCAGCGTGTCTGGTGCTGCTGCCTGAAAGGCCCCCAAGACTCTCAGGGTTGGCAGGGGGCCCCGGGGTGACGTCCTACATCCCCCGTGATGAGAAGTCCCCGTGTGGCTCCCTTTATTCTCCAGGTGGCCCGTACTGCTGGGCAGCCCATCCGGCTGGGTCGTGGGTCCAGGACCTGGGAGGCCTGCCAATCAGACTCCTGGTCTAGAAAAGCTAAAACCCACAGTGGTGAGCGGTGTGTGTGTGCGTGTGTGTGTGTGAAGCTGAAGGGATTGCCAATGTGTGGAGGGGGTGGGGCCACAGATACCGCCTCCGCCCTACCCCCTACCCTCATCTTAACAGGGAAAACCTATGGCAGGGTGAGAGCTGAGCCAGGAGGGGGGCAGGGGCAGGGTGCCAGAGGGCTAAGACAGGCCCGGCTGTCCCCCTCCCCACTTCCAGCTCAGTCTGCACAGTCCCGAGTTCCCTCTTTTTTTTAAAAAAAAGTATATTTTATTGATTTTTTTTTTTTTTTACAGAGAAGATTTTTTAATAGAGTTAGAAACATCAATTCAGCTGCCTCCTGCACACTCCCTACTGGAAATGTGGCCGCAACCAAGGTCCACGCCCTTGACTGGAATCGGACCCGGGACCCTTGAGTCCGCAGGCCGACGCTCTATCCACTGAGCCAAACTGGCTAGGGCCGTTCCCTCTTTTTATTTAAGGAAAGCTGGGCCCGTTCCTCACGCCCCAAGGGCCCCAGTAAAACACTGTCCAAAACGCCAGCGCCACGTGCCAGCCGCCCTGAGCTCACCTCCGAGGAGCCAGGCGAGGCGGCCGTGGCTTTTCTGGGCCGTCACCGGATGGCACCAGACCCTTCAGGATCTTTCCGCCCCGAGGACTGGGCACTGGCATCCGTTTCCGTAACCGTCCTCCCCTGGAGCCTTGCTGCTCTGACGACATGGGGCGGGGAGAGGGGACGCTGAGTCAATGTCGGGGCTCTCCTGGGGGAATCTGTGTGCAGACACCCTGAGGAATGACTAATGCCAGTTGTCCTCTGGCAGTGCCTGCCAGGAGACACGTGGGGGCGAGGGGAGGAGTGCGCACCTGACAGCCCTGACGCACCACCACCCCCCGCCCCCTCCCTGGGCTCCTGCACGCAATGTGCCTGCTCCAGCAGGGGGGCAGGGAGAGGAGCTCTCCCTGAGACACACACCCTGACTGCAGGGAGGTGGGAGAGATTCACCCCCCCTCCCCCCCGCGCCCGCCCCGCCACTTCTGGGGAACACTGAGCCTGAGGGCAGGCGCTTGCCATGGAGCCCGCGATGACTTGTGTGTGCTTCACCGCGGAGTCACTCCCTCTCAGGAAGCTTCCCATCTCACCGTGGAGTCACCCAGGGGAACCGCCGGGGGCCCCGGGCTGAAGTGGGAGCAGCTGGTTGATCCGGGGCCACTGACCGGCCCCATCTGACCCTCCCCCAGGCGCTGCCAGGAGAGTCGTCTGTGGCTGCAGCATCCCCTCGTTTCCCACCTGCCCAGCTGCTTTCCCGGGTGTGATCCTGTTCGATCCCTTCCATCCAGGACACGCCTCTGTGAATCCATCGGGAGCGGAGCGTTGGAGGGAGCATCTACCCTGTGGCAGGCATGAGGCGGAGGCAAAGCTTGAGCCACCCCGTCCACAAAGCTGTCACCCCCAAGGCAGAGCCACCAGGTACGTGACCACGCCCTCTGACAGGGCCAGGCGTGAGGAGGTCCCTGAGGGCGCTGGAGGCAGCGCTGGCATTCCGAGGATGACTGGGAGCGGAGGACGCCATGTGGTGGGGAGAGGCAGGGAGATGCGGCCGGCCGTGGCTGGAGCAGCAGCGGATGCCCCTGCCCCCTCCTCCCACACAGGAACGCATTCTTGGGATGCCAGCTGCAGGAGCACATCTCAGAGAGGGCAAAGCGCGCACAACGCTGCGAGGGAGGTCAGAGGCCCACCCAGCCCTCAGGAACCAAAACAGAAACCAAGGGCCATTAAACACCACTCGCTGAGGGCAGCACCCTGGGCCCAGCCCCAAGCCCCCAGGGTACGTGGCAGGGCTCCTTACAAAACGCTGGGACGCACATGCTTTTTGTTTTATTGTTTGGTCTCCCTCCCCTGGACTCCTGTTCTCTCCGCCCCTTTAAAATCCACCTCTCCTCCACCTCGGTCTCCTCTGAGCTTCCCACTAGCTCTCCTCTGAGCGTCTCTCCTTTTCTCCCCCAAGGCCCAGCCGTGGCCCCCAGCACCTCGTCTCCAGGACTGGGGGTCTCTGGCCCTGGAGAAGTCCGTCATGGGCATAGCTCACTTTATTTTTTTTATTTTAAAAATATATATTTTATTGATTTTTTACAGAGAGGAAGGGAGAGAGATAGAGAGTTAGAAACACGGATGAGAGAGAATCATCCATCAGCTGCCTCCTGCACACGCCCTCCTTGGGATGTGCCCTCAACCAAGGCACATGCCCTTGACCGGAATCAAACCTGGGACCTTTCAGTCCGCAGGCTGACGCTCTTTCCACTGAGCCAAACCGGTTTGGGCGGCATAGCTCACTTTAACTGAGCACTTACTACATGCGATGGGTCGTGTTAAGGGTCTGACACGTATGAATTCGCTTAATCATCACAGCCGCCTTCCGCGATGGTCAGCAGGCCCATGTCCGCAGAGGAGGAGAGTCCAGCAGAGCTGAAGAAGCTGAGGGATTCTGCAGCCAGCCTAGCCCATGGCGGTGAGTGACCGCAGTATTTGAACAAAGAAGTCTGTATAGCCGGAGGGGAAGGGGAGTTCTGTGGAAAAGGGGGAGGGTTTAAGAAGTAAAAATGGGCAGTTACCAAACAGTCATGGGGCTGTCAAGTACAGCACAGGGAATATGCATATACTAAAGTGGTAATATGCAAATTGGCCCTCACGCCCTCGCATCACAAGATGGCCGCCCCCATGTTGTCACGAGATTGGAGGGGATGCAGCCTGGGCTGAGGGACAAACGCCTCCCCCAGTACACGAATTTCATGCACCAGGCTGCTAGTCATCAATAATATTGTAATTATAGTGTCGTGGCTATTAGACTTATCAGGGGATCACTTTATAACTAATATAGATGTCTCTCTTCTACGATGTACACCTGAAACTAATATATTGAATGCCAACTGTAACTGAATAAATATAAATATAAAAAATTTTCAACTTCAAGAAAAACAGAAAGAAGCGCTCAGCTTGTCACCATTTAGTATGATGTTAGCTGTGAGTGTCTGTGTACGGCCTTTACCACGACTGGTTAGGTATGTCTCCTCTAACCCGACTTTTCCAAAGGTTCTTATCGTAACTGGATACTGGGCTCTATCAAATGCTTTTTCTTCATCTATTGACACGGCCACATGATTGTGATCCTTCATTGTGTTGCTGTGGAGTATGACACTTATTAGGAGCTGCTGAACCAACTTTGCGTCATGGAAATAAACTCCACTTGATCCTGGAAAAAGAAAGACACGGAGGCTGACCCAGCGCCCGGGCCCAAAGGCCTCCCCTGGCAGGCACCTCGGGGTGACCGACAGTCTCCGCGGGCTGTAGCAGAAGCCTGACCTCTCCGCCTGACCTCTCTGCTGCAGGAAGCTGGAAGAACCCACTGACCCCGAGGCCAAGCGGCACCTCTGTCCTCTAGCAGTTCTCAGAAAAGTTGCGAAAGAGGTGGAGTCCAGCGAGAGGACTGGACCTGCACAGCCAGAATGCTTTTAATGCCTCTTAAACCCGCGGCCGGCACTTAGCCTCCCACGCGGGCATCCGGCCCCTGGCAGCCGGCCCTCCAGCCAGCCTGCTGCGGCTTCCCCTCCTCCCTGCACCGGAGGGAGGGCACACTCTCCTCTCACTGCCCCACAGGGTCTGGCCCTGGCAGAGGCACCTTGGGGTCCCCTTGCCCTGGACCAGGCTGAAGGCCGACCCTGGGAGGAAGAGAGGCAGGCAGGGGTGTCACCATGGACCAGCTGGGGTGGCACTGGGCCTGCCCAGCGCCCCAGCCCTGCCTCGCTCCTCCCCTTCCCCTCTATCAGTCCCACTCGGTCCCCACTTCCTAGAGCGGGTCGGGGTGACTCTGCACAGCGGCCAGCAGGGGGACCGGCCCCTCCTGGCTACCCCGCACCCCACTGGGGCTCTCCAGGGCGCCGCGCTTCCTCCTGGCGGGCGCCCTGGGCTGACCCCGCGAGGCGCCCCCTCGGGGCCCCCGGACGCCCTGCCCGCGCCTGGCCACCCACCGGCGGCGACCGGAGCTGCACACCCTCCTGGTCCCCGCGCCGCCCGCAGCGCCTCCCGGGCCAGCCGGCCTCTCGGCCCCGCGGGCTGCGGTCCACGTGGCTGCGGAGCCCCAGATCGGCCGTGGGAGCCCCGGGGAGGGGAAGCCTAGCGGAGCGCGCGGAGGAGGCGGGGGCCGGGGAGGCGGCGCGGGCGGAGGAAGGGGAGGGCCCGCGGCCCTGGCGCCCGCCCCTCCCGCTCCGCCCTCCCCCTCCGCCCGGGGGAAGGTGTTCCCGGGGCCGCTCCCAGCCTCCCCCCGCCTCCGGGCCCGGCCTCCCTCCGCCGCGGAGCTCCACGATGCCAGGCAGTTTCGACACTTTGCAAAGACAAAGGCCGGAGGCAGGAGGCCGCGGAGGCCGCGGAGGGAGCGGAGGAGGAGGCGGAGAGCGCGGAGGGAGCGGCGATGTGAGCGGGCGCAGGGGCGCGTGTCCGGGACGCCCGCCCGCCGAAGCCCCCGCGCCCCGGCGCCGCGGGGATCCCCGCGCGTCCCCCGCCCGGTGAGTGCGTGCGCCCGGGGCCGCGGCCGCGGAGTTGGGGCTCCTCGGGCAGGTTCGCCCGGGGCTCTCCGGGGCGATCGCCCCCCGGGGACCGGAGTGGCGGGAGGGGCCTCGGAGGGTGGGACGGTGGGGCTGGGATCCACGACCCCAGGCGCCGGGAGAAGGCGCGCATAGGGCGACCCTGCCCGCGCCCCGGCGCCCCCGGGATCTTGGGGATCGGGTCTTGGGGGATCTCCAGCTTTCCCCGGGAGCGCCCGCGGCGGAGCTCGTGCCAGGTCCCGGGGAGAGCGGTCCCCGGGGCGGCCCCGTGACACCGCGGGGCGCCGGGCTGGAATCTCCCCGTTGCGGCTGCGGGGGGAGCGCCGGGCGGCCGGCGGGCGCGGGCGGGAGGACTCCCCGCCGGCCGGGGGCACCGGGCGCTTTGCAGGCGAGCTGGGCGGGCCGCGGGGGCCGGCGGCCGCGGGACGGTCTCGGGGTCCAGCCCCCGATCCGCTGCTGGTGGCTGGCGCAGCCCCGGGAGGCGGCCGGGCCCTCGCGGAGGGGGACTCGGGGGACCGGTGTTCTGGGGTTCGGTGGTGGAGAAGTTGGGGTCGGGGCCGGGCAGCTGGACGTGGCTTTTGGGGGGCAGTGAGGGCCTGGGGTGGGCGGCAGTGAGCTCGGCAGGGGTGGCGCTGGTGCAGCGGGAAACTCCGAGCCGCCCTCCTCGGCCCGTTAGGCGCCGCCGCGGCCGCGAAAAAACCGAAAGAACCAGACAAAAGTGAGCCACTTGTGCGAGTCTCCGGGGCGACCCGCAGCTCCTGGCAGCGCCCCCGGGGCGGGAGCCCTGACCCCGGGGCAGGCCGGTCGCCCGGATGGGGTTACTGTGAGATTCCGAACCGGGACGGTGGCGGTGGCGCAACTTTTGCCCAGCGGGGGTGCCTGTGAGCTTGACCTTGAGAGAGTAAACTCTGCCGCGGCCGCCAGACGGGGGGTGGGTGGGCGTTGAGGCTGCGCCGGGCTTGGCACCCGTGTCCCCCAGCCAGCGGGCCTCAGCCTACGGCCGCCCGGGGCCTGGTCTCCCGGAGGGGGGGGGGCGGGTCGTCTCGGTTCAGCTTCTTGTCCGGAGCCCTCGGGTCTCGCCTCCTTCCTGCTAGAGAGGCCCTGCCCGGAGCCACCACGCGGCAGGCAGGCTTGGGGGGGCGCTCTGGCCCGGGACATGTGCGCCCAGAAGCGCAGGAGTGGCGGCTGGGGCTGGGGGGTGGGGAGTCCCTGTCCCCTTGGCTCTGGGTGTCCAGCAGAGGGAGGCAGTGCTGACCCTGAGGGCAGTGGCCTCTTCGGAGGTCTGGGCATCTGACACCCCTCTGGCTGCCACCTCCGGGGACCCCCGGCCCTTCTGTCCCATCCTGGATTGTCTGCAGGCGCCGGAGGGCACCGGGCGTCTGACCGGACGGGGACCCGGTCTGGAGTTCTGGCCAGGAGCGGATTCAGAGGCGAGACGCCAACTGGGAGAGCACTTACTTAGGGAACCACAGAGGGGCAGTAATTTGGGAGGAAATAAATGGGCGGAGGATACAAGCTGCAGAGGCAAAGGAAGGGGCCTAGGCGTTTGGGATGGGAGTGGGGTGCGTGGTGGGGATGTGCCTGGGGGTGTGGGGGGATGGGAACTAACGGGGAGGGAACGGGCCCCAGAGGAGGGGATGACCTAGGAGCGGAGTCCTCCGTCCCGAGGGCCATAAGGATGGAGGTTTTAGGAGCCGTCCCAGGGGGCCGTGGTCCACACACCGCGGCTCCAGAGCCACAGGCGGCTCTTTGGCCCCTTGAGTGTGGCTCTTCCACCAAACACCACGGCCTGGGCGAGTCTGTGTCGAAGAAGTGGCGTTAGAAGAAGTTTAGGTTTAAAAAATGTGGCTCTCAGAAGGAATTTCAATCGTTGTGCTGTTGCTATTTGGCTCTGCTGACCACCGAATGAGCTTGCCGACCACTGGGATGGACTGCTCAGCGGTTTCCAGGTGTGCCCTTCAGGGTCTGGGTCCCGCTGGTGGACTGTGCGCCCCAGGGCAGGCTGCCTCTCCCCTGCAGCTGGTCCTGACGTCAGCCCCGGGGCCACTGGTCTGGCCGGGCTGCTTGTCTGGGCCTGGAGCTGAAATGCTAACATGGAGGCCTGGATGTTATCTCGGCATGGCCAGCAATAGGCTAGGGGGAAAGGTCACCCTGGGGGTCAGGTTTCATCCTACTGTCTTCGCCAGGCACCTGGGGTTGGGGGGCCGGGGTGCTTTCTGCCCTGGCCCATCCGCCCTGCTCTGCCCCTGTGTGTCTTTCCACCCACCGTACTTTCGGGCCGCTATGCCCATGGACTTGTGCCATGATACGTAGTAAGTGCAAAGGCTGTTCCCAAGGCCTCTAGGTTGGCAGGCGCTGGCAGGGGCCTGGGCACCCCTTTCTCTGCCCCATTTGAGCTGTCGGGCACACCTGAATTTACCTGGGCAAGCCCTTTTGGCTTCTCATGTGCCGTGAGCACCTACTGCATGTGGCTCTCAACCGCCCGTTCCTAGAAGCCGCTGGCAGAGCCTCCCGGTTGGTTTCCTTTCCCCGGAGCTGCAGGAGAGAGAGGCTCCGAAAGACAAGGTGCGCTGCCCCCTGATGGCCGCTGTGGGAACTGGCGCTTGGCGCTGAGGTGGGGAAGGGGTGCTAGCAGCAGGGTGCCTGAGGTCCTCCAGGGGCCTCCTGTCACCTTCTCTCCTGCCCCCCAACACCAGGCATGGCCCCACTATTTGCTGAAACCCGTGGTTGGCTAAAAAACGGATCCTGGTCCGCCATTCCATGCCCCAGACCTGGGTGTACAGTTCCAGGCTCACCTCGCCTCCCACTCTCTGTCTCTGACTTTGAGCTTGAGGCTTGTTAACATAAAACAACAACAAAAAACAAAACAAAACAACAACAACAACAACAAAAACACATTGAAACCTGTAAGGAATTTTAGTGAGCTTATTCGAGCCAAACTGTCGACATATGACCTCAACGGATTGAGATAATGCTCCGGAGAATGGCGGGTCACATCTGTGTTTATACATCGCCATCAGAGGAGGGACATCGGTGGGTCTCATTGGTGACGGATTAAGGAGGCCTGGAGTTGAGGGGGGCGGGGAAGAACATTAGTTTCGAATTGTTTGGCAGAATGAAGAGAGGACTTTGGGAAGGTTCATGTTTGGTGGATAAGGAAATACTTTCTCTGAATTTCCCCAGATGCCTGTAGGAAAACCCGGCCCAACTAGCCAGCATTGTACTAGATTTTGCTACATGGAAGGCAGGAAGGAGGGAAGGAAGGAAGGAAGGAAACCCATTTGGGTCCACACTGAAGGAGCAGGAAAGAAAGAAAGAAAGAAAAAAAGAAAGAAAGAAAAAAAGAAAGGAAGAAGGAAACCCATTTGGGTCCACACTGAAGGAGCAGCGGAACTGGCTAAAAACCCCCTTCATGTGTGTTTACTTAGCCAAGGGCTCTTGAGAAAAACCCGCCAGAAAAAACGGAACCAAAGCAGACCTGGCTGCTGCTCTCCTCTCCCGGCGGGTGGACCGGCTCCAAAGAGCCCGTCACGCTCAGAGCCTCAAACAGTGCCGCAGGAGAGACGGAACTCCATCTGATTCAGGGCATTTACCTTTCAGAAATGAAAGGCTCAGCGGCAAGAAAAGAAAAGGACACACACACACACACACACACACACCCCTCTTCTCTGGAAGGCTCCGCCGGAGCCCAGAATAAACGCCCTGACATGGCCGGGCCAGGCTGAGCAGACCTGCCGTCTCTCCCTCCTGCCGTGGACCCCGCAGCAAGGACTGCAGAGAACTCCCCGCGGTCGGCGAGCTGAGACTCCTCTGGAACGGGGCCCTCTGCGTTCCCGCAGCCCTGGCCACCGCAGCCTGCTCCTCCTCAGCCCTCAGGCCCGTTCGTTCCCAGCGACCTGGGAGCAGGCTCCTCCTGGTGGTGCAGGTGAAGGGACTCAGCCAAGGTCACCCCGCCTCTCCCTCCCCCCCGGATCCTCCGTGTGCCACCGCTCCTCCGCGGCTCCTTTTCCCGAGACTCCGAGCTCAGCCACGTGCCCACGGTCACCACACTGCGGAGTGGCAGAGCCACGCGATTCCTAACTGCGCCTTTTGTGCCCAAAGCCTGAGACCTCAGGCCCCACGCTGTGTAGCTCCCAGGATCATCCTGTGTCTAGACCTGGGGAGTGGGGGCGGGAGGGGGTGAGGGAGGAGCCTGAAGGGCGGGGCAGCCCCCCTCAGAATTGCAGATGTGAAACGGGGCACAGTGGGCGTCGCCCAGCCCAGCCCAGCCCAGGACGTGCGCCAACCCCTCCCATGGGCACAGCACACGGACCCAGGTCCTGGACCAGCCCTGTGGGGAGGAGGTCCTGCTTCCTCTGCACACACACTGTTTCCCGGGTGCTGTGCCAGCAGCTCATCCCCCGGGCCCCGAGTCCTCCCACCCCAGCCTTTCCCCCCACTCACCATGGGGACCCCGTTGGGTGGTTTATTTAACCCGCCATCCCCTGCTGGGTTGCCAGAAGCCCACGTCCTGCCTTGCGTGGCTGATGGCAAGTGCTGGTTTCTTGGCCTCCATGGAGTGGGGACAGCCCCAAGGTGCCCGGGGTTCAGGCGGGACTGGGAGTCTGCCAGGGGGTCGGAGGCAGCCCTGCACAGCAAGGTGGCCATGGGAGGTGAACACCGAGGGCGCCCCTGGGGCACCTGCACCAAGAAGGACCAGGGCGTCCCTTTCAATACTGAGCATCTTCCCGCCGAGAGGGAGATCGTTGTTGCTCTCGCCCGGGAAACGCTGTTCGTCCTCCCCCCGAGGGGAGTCGGTGAGTCAGGACCATCGCTGGGGAAACATCAGCTGCCACAGCGAGAACGCCTTTTCGGAGAGCATTCCGGGTGGGTCCAGGGCACCGTCTTCACGTTGGGCGTCAGGCGTGGGGCAGAGGAAGGGGAGTCACAGCCACAGGAGCGGTGAGGAGGCAGCGGTGGCA